TTCCCCCCCCCCCCCCGATATCTGGATTATACTCCCTTCAACACACTACTTAATCTTCCCACATTTTCTTTTTTCAAGGCATTTAAGAGATGTGAAATTGTGTGGTTGAAATTTGTGCAGAGGAGAGGAATAATGTGAACCAAAAATTCTTTCATTAAAAAGAATTGTGAAGATTAATTAGGAACATCCAAAAAATGAAATTGGGAAGATAAAAAAGGGAAAGAGGGAGTAACATCTAAGATGGTTGAGTACTTCAGTTTAAGCTTATGATTCTGATAAATAAACACCTAAACTAAACGAGGAGTTGTGTGTGCGAGAACATACCTCAACTTTATACATTATATTTCCTAAGAGTAAGTAGTGTGGGGGGGCAATAAAACATGTGCAAATAGAACACATACCTCAATTTTTTCCATAGATTTGTTGATGTGTGTTTCATCAAATAGCATGTCTTCAACAGAGACTTTGCTTACTTTAACAAAATCTGATAGTAGCAACTTATAAATTGCCTTTGTAGCATGGGTCATGAAAACTCGCCCTTTAAATGTAGTCTGATAAACAACATGTAGTATTAGCTAATGTAATTATTAGTGGACATATAATTATATATAATTGGCGAAGTGTTAAATACTCAATTAAAACAGAAGCTCATATACCTTTTCAAGAAAATATGGGAGGGAAGCAGCATGATCCAAATGAAAACTGCATGGACGGGAAAAAGTCAAGCATTGAAGGTAGAGTTAGCAAAATATGCAAAAACATTCATTTGGAAAAAAACATGAACAAGTAACAGAAACATCTAAACATACAGTTAACTAAGATGATAATTAATGATGGGACGATTTTGAAGTCATTAAATCAAATCCTGTCAATGTTCTCCCTTGTTTTATAAAAAATGTAACCATTTAGGTTACTAGAAAAATTCTTCAAGCCTGGGTAACCAACTGCATTGTGGAAGTAAACATTTCCGAGAAATTCACTTATAATCTCACTTTAATGTTTTCAATAAGCTTAACACATTTGAACAAATGCGAAATGGTTAACTTATCAATGCAAACTCAATTAAAAGAAGCATAGAACAAATAAGAAATCTATGACACTTAACTTGAAAAAACACACATATTTTTAAGCATCTAGAAAAAAATGCAAAATGGGAAAATACCCTTTATCCACATTAACTAAACTACAAAAAACATATAAATGTAATGTGATCTTTCATGAGTTTCTCCAACTCATTCCTCGGCAGCACTGACATTTCTCCAACCAGACAATAAATCAATAGATGCTACCAAACAATACCACCAGAAATAGTTCAATATTAGATGAATGACAGAAGAAGCAGTACTGGGTGATTAAAAGGACATCAACAGTTGAAGGGTCAATTTCGTCAAAGTATGGCAAGGCGGCCATGCCAGAGTAAGCCGGATGAATCCCACAGTCAAACTGCCACAAAACAACCAAGATTTGCAAATGAATTATCATCAGAATCAATATATTAACAAGTGAAAAAGATAAATCAGAATAGGCAACGCATAGTCCCTACCAGAACTGTTTTCCCTTTGTAAGACATGTATACGCATGACCGGCCCACTTCACTCCCGGCCCCTAGAGGAGTTATGATAAGCCGATCTGCTTCTCTTGTTATTGCTGAATTAGGTCTCTTCGCCGACGATTGTGGCTGTCCCGTCGACGCCATTCTTCCCGATGAGCTTGTGGAATGCAGAGCTCTTAGAACCCTAGAAACCTTTCCCGCCGGGTGCTCTGGGGGTTCATCATCCGCCCTTCAAACATTCTATTTTAATTAGTTTAAGTACTAACAATAGTAACAAAAATACTCTCTATCCACAAATTAAAATTTTGTTTGTTATTCGGAGTTTTCAATAATTTTATTTTATTTTATATTTTTTTTTATTAAAATAATAATGTACTCTTGAAACTATAATATAATTCAAAAAACATAAAAAAAAAATTATTAGGATTGCATAATATCTTTTATTTTTATATAAATTTTTAAATAAAATAATTCAAAAAACATAAAAATTTGCATGTTGTTTGAAATGAAAAGTTAATTTGTAGAATAAAGGAGTAGCAATTTTTCAAAAGTACATTTTGTAAAATCCAGAAAAACAAAATTACCGTAATAATTTTCATGGTTTAACTCTTTTATATTTTTAAAATGATGTAAGATTTTGTCATTTGTACTCTGTATTTGTTTATGATGGTGAATAATGTGTTCTTTCAAAGTGAGTATATTGAGATTAAGATCTTCTTTTTTTAGAAGAAAAGATATGGGATAAAGTTTTATTAAATCTGTGAAAATATGTCTAGTTTTGATTTTTTACGGTACATTATTTTCGATCTTTGATTTCAAAATAAATAGAAATTATATGATCTATTAATTAAATAAATATATTTTTTGAAAATATTATATAAATTATATAAAATAAAATTATATTTCATATGAATATTTAATATTATTTTTATTTTATTAATAATCAAAATTTGTATAAAAAGAAAAAAAGGAGATGAATAATCGGAATAATAGTATTTGAAAAAGTTCACAATTTTTTTGACGTATCATTCTTGATTTCTTGATTTTGACCCTCGTCCAATGGTCCCACGGTCATCACCACCGTTCAGAAAAATTCGACGCACAAAATATGAATTTCGCCCCTTTCTTATATGGAAGGAGTAGAGGAGGAAGAAGAGGAATTTATGGACTCCAGTTCAAGAGGGTTTGAGGGTATTGGGTCATAGGGGGGGGGAGATCGAGCAATGGGGAAGGGGAAGTTTTCGCTGCGGCGGAAGAAGAAAGGGGCGGGCGGGACGCCACCCAGACCGCCGCGCGCAGCGGAGCTTTCCTCCGGGAACGGCGGTGTTAAATCGATTGCTCCGAGTGTGGGTACGAGCAAGACAGTGAAGAAGAAGGCCGGCGGGTCAAGGCTGTGGATGCGGTTTGATAGGATGGGGCAATCGGAGCTGATGGAGTGCGACAAGAATGCAATCATCAAGCGCGCCTCCATTCCTGCTAGGGATTTGAGGATTCTTGGTCCTATTTTCTCTCACTCCTCCAGTATCCTCGGTACCCTCTCCTCTCTTTCTATGTGTGCATTCAATGTGTTCGACATTTTGATTCACTGAGTGTTTGGTGTGGATTATGTTGAAATTTGGTATTTTTCTGCTCAATTAATTATATCATGTGGCAAAACAATAACCGAGCAAAGACAATTCAACTAGAAGCAGATTTTCTTAGCTTATCACCAAACCATGCAAAATCCAATAATCATGACAAAGAAGAAAAAAAGGGGAAAAATCTAAAAATTTCAACCATGGATCTGCTTCAGAGGTCAAACCTCAAGGGCTGTAACTGAACCAAAACGTTTCTTTGACGATCCACAAGCTCTGTTTTTTTTAGCTTTCAAGAATATCTAAGATATCGCCTTACTGAGGAATTTTGAAAAGGAAGAAAATGTTCTTGTGAAAAGATAGAAATCCAAAAATCAATCTTTAAACTTTAAAGAAAATCACCCAATCCTAATAGATTGAGGGTGGCCAAAATTGCTGTAGGTATAGATCAGAGCTAACACATCGTTTCCCTTCCCAACTCCTCTCATGTGCACTCTCAAGCACAATGAATTAGAAGAATTCTTATTGATTAATAATGCAGCCAGGGAAAAGGCAATGGTTATTAACTTGGAGTTCGTAAGAGCTATAATTACTGCTGAAGAACTATTGTTGCTCGATCCTCTACGACAAGAGGTTCTTCCATTTATTGATCAGCTGAGGCACCAATTGCCTCAAAAGAGTCATTCAAAGAGTTGTGGAACAAATGCTGTACAAGACGAGGACTTGCAATTCCCGAATGCTGGAAAATGGCTACCGGAAGCTGTTGAAAGAGGATTGCAGGCTGAACAACTTCCATTTGAGTTCCAAGTGCTGGAGGTTGCATTAGAAGTCGTGTGTATATATCTTGACTCTAGTGTGGCTGAACTTGAGAGAGATGCTTACCCTGTCCTCGATGAACTTGCCATGAGTGTTAGCACAAGGAACCTTGAACATGTTAGAAGTTTAAAAAGCAACCTTACCCGTTTGCTAGCACGTGTACAAAAGGTATGCTTTTTGTGACTCTTCTTTTCATTTCCCCCCATGAAATATGCATAAACTCCTTTGTTGTGCATGGTTCTTGAACAACTTGAGATACTTTTTGTGACTCTTCTTTTCATTTGAAGGATGTCAAGACCTTTCCACATCTAGCCCTACTCTAGAATATGTTTAGATTCCATAAAAGTCACAGAAAGGAGGAAAACGGTAATGTAAGATATTTTGTGATTGTGACTGTTATGTTTTACTCCATATTTTGAAAAAGGCAAGAGAAAACATAATACGATTTTTATAGAATTATTTAGATTTTATACTTTATAGGCTTTATAGTTTATATATTTGACAAAAATATCTGGAGTCTTTTGGAAACCTCTCTGCCTTCTTGGAATGTGTATAAGGTCCGTGTACATTCTACCATCCCAAGACCCCAGTTGTGGTAGTATTTCACTGGGAAATGTTGTTGTTATGGTAGACAAAAATAAAAAATAAAAAAAAGAGTAGCAATAAGGATTTAAAAGAACTTTATTAAGATTTAGCTTATCTTTTATTTATCTACCAACATTTTTTTCCTTCCAATATCCATCTATGTTATCCTTCCTATTTTATTTCCGTAGTGGTTTACAGGTTCCCAAGTGACCCTAAATCTCAATCTTGCCTTTTTTACTTCTGAAACTTGCTAGTCTTCTACTTGACAATGATCAATCCAGAGAGCGGTGAGCTCAATTTGAGAGATAAGTGCCTGTTTTTATTTAGTTATTCACCTTTTTTTCTCCTTTTTGGAGTGAGCAACTCTACCTGATAGGAATGAGGTGTATGAAATTCTTCCATAGGAGTTCTCAATAGACAAGAAGTGCATTGTCATCGAGCTATTAGAATCACGATGGGCGTGAATATGTGGTGTGTTGTGGGCTTGTGGCAGTGCTGATTTGCTTTAGGGAGTGCTACTCCTCCCAAAGAAGAGCCCCAGTTCATGAAACGAAACTATTTTTTAATGTGATTTTTCAAAGAAAAGTGAACAGAAAGTAAAATATCAGACTTAGTTAAGTCTTTGAATATCTGAAAAGCAAGACTCTGTATTTTATATATATAATTAGTCATATCTCATTGTTTTCTTTTTCTATGACAAAGCTAAATACAAGTACTCAAGAAAATAATGTCATTGTCTCACATTAGCTTTGCATTAAATCTGTTGTGGTAATTGTGAGAAGTATTTCCGGTGGGTGTTAGGTGAGAGACGAAATTGAACACCTTTTGGATGATAATGAAGACATGGCCCAATTGTACTTAACTAGGAGGTTGATTCAGAGTCAACAGTCTGAAGCAGCTATGCTATTGGGAACTGCTACTACCACTACAGCTTCAAATGTCATAACTCCCATTGCTCCTAATTTCAGAAGGCTAAGTTCCACCAGGAGTGGAAGTATGGTTAGCAACTCCTTAAATGATGATGTGGAAGATCTTGAGATGATGTTGGAGGCTTACTTCATGCAGTTGGAAGGCACCCGCAATAAGATATTATCCGTAATTATCTTCTTTCTTTGACTTGAACATTATTCAGGCATTTTGTTTTGGATAAATTAACAACCGTCCCAAATCAATCAATTTTACACTAAGGGTCATACTAAAATCACACCATGGTTTCCATCTCATATTTCTCTTCTTTTGGGAAGCTTTCCATTCTTTTGGGCACTTTGTGTGTGATATTATCTTAACTATTTTGTACAATTCCAATTGCCAAATCACAGGTTCGTGAATACATAGATGACACAGAGGACTACGTCAACATCCAGCTAGACAATCAGCGGAATGAATTGATTCAGCTACAGCTGATATTGACCATTGCATCTTTTGCTATTGCCGTGGAGACCCTTGTTGCGGGTTGGTTCGGCATGAACATCCCTTGTTCCCTGTACAAAATCCAAGGGGTATTTTGGCCATTCGTTGGTGGTATGACAGCAGCTTGTATAATTCTCTTCTTCGTTGTCTTAGGCTACGCCAGATGGAAAAAGCTACTTGGCTCATGATTCATTCCTTCACCTTCTACCCAAGATTCTGTGGTTTTTTCATGGGAAGTGTGTATTTATCCCCCCATTATTATATGAACAACTCTCATGTTCCCTATGTTGTTTTCTTTAAATAAAAATAGTTTCTGCAAAGTGATTTCATATTTCTATTGGACTTTGCACCCCACGATTTACATAAGCGTTCCACTTTGCACCCTATTCTCCCAGTGTGTTCAATAAAATAAAACACAGGGTGGCAAAGTCGAATCTCGGGCAAAACGTGTGGTGTAGAGTTCAATCTCCCCTCGGAGTGTGGTTCTTTTCCGGTAACGGGTAAATAATATTAAAAAGAATAATGTACAAATACAACGGGCATACCCGCGAACAAGGGGTAGACACTCCTCATAAGACAAACCAAATAGGAACATAGGCACGCAAGCCCAAATAGAATCAAAGGCACGCAGGCCCAATTGGAGTCAAAGGCACGCAAGCCCTGGTAGAATTACACCAAAAGTGGACAAATCAGACTAAAAGTCAATGCAAACATATGGCCAAAGAAGCCCGGAGTGAGGTTCTTTTGACACCACTTGTAGGTGTCATAATATGACATTCATGCTAATTGAGTAGTTTTACCATAGAACCCTCGTAGGTACTTCGTATAAAATAGAGTTTAAGCAACATTTTCAGGCTACAACTAAGGATAGGGATGTGAATATGGGTGACATTACAAAAAAAAAACGAAATTGTTATGGGTGTCTTGGCTATTTGGCACGGATCAAAACATTTTCTATTACGAAGCTCTAAAATTTTTTGCACGGTCTTTTTCTATGTTCCAAAGTTTGGCACGACAGTTAACACGAGCGCATCCCAAGATTATGGTTCAAAATTGTAATGTTCTAAAGATAAGACAGATTAATTTCAGGTCAACTAGGCACGGTGAATGTCCGTGCCACTTTGGATTCATTTTAATCATAATTTCCAAATATTGGCATTTTGCATTTCTTTGCCTACCCCAAATTAGAAACTAAACTTGGCACGGGCCGATTCGTGCCAAATAAATATCTGCAAGATTCTGAAAAACTTAGAAGTTATAAATTGAGTAAATTATTAATAGTCTTTAGTTACAGGTGTTTTTCATAGGCAACGTTATGGATGCCTTATAATGCATTGGGTATAAAATTAATAAAATATATTAGGATATCATAAGACATGTAAGACAAGTTATGTAAGCAAATTCTTGAGTACCATGCACAAAATTCTATCTAATAATAAGTAATACCCATGTAAGATAGATTATGTAAGCAAATTCTTGATTACTCATAGTGTTGTCTATCTTCAAGTATCATTCTTGATCCCATTTATAATACGGCCCGGTTCCATGGCCACTGGAATCCAGTGGCCACGGAAGCCACTGGAATCCAGTGGCCACGGAAGCCACTGCCCCCCTACGAAACTTTGTTCATAAAATTGATGATTCCTACCCCCCTAACCCCCCCGGTAAACCCCCCCCCCGCCAAGTCCCGACCCAAACTCATCACCCCACCTACGTCATCTAACCCTACTTCGTTTAATTCTTCCTTTTACTGTCCGGTCGGGTCGGAGAGAGTTCTCAGGTGTGGGGCTTTTTCTTTTTTTGTTTAATTCTTCCTTTTAAAAAAACTACTCCCTCCTTTCTTATTTGTTTGTCATATTTCTAAAATCAATGTAAAATATCAAGTATTTTCAATTTATTTTGTTGAAATATAGAAATAAAAAATAAAATTTACATTTTTAAAAGACTATATGAAAAGTTCTTCGAAATAAGAATAGTCAAAAAATTCTATTTTATCAGATAATCAATGAAAAATGTAGAAGTAATAAAATTCTCGTTCAATTGAAAAAACAAATGTAGCAAACATTTAGAGACGGATGAAGTAAATGAGTTGTGAAAAACAATAAAGTTTTCACAATTGGATCTCGGGGGTCAATTCACTTTGTTGGCAATAAAATTTTATTTTATTCAGATACATTTAAATTATTCAAAAAAATAATATTTCTTCTAATAAAAAACTAATTCCCATTTAAATTATTCAAAGAATTATTATTTCTTCTAATAAAAAATT